ATATAAAAATACCCCTCTATCCCCATTTCTCCACTGCAGCAACAGGCAAAGATCAGCCACAGCCACCCATCTGAAGATGCTTTCCTTATATTCCCAATGTTATAATTTGGGAATTATAACAATATACAATTATATCTACACACATTTGTATTAAATATTTATATTAAATATAATTATATATTTTAATATATCAATTATAACGATAGCAAGTCGACACCCCAGAAGCAGCACACACAGAGTCCAGCAATGGCAAGAGAAGCCAGAGACACTCATAAACTCCTGCAAGGCTCCCAGCCCCACATTCCCACTGCCCAGGGAGGCTCCCCTGGGGGCACAGACCTGCCTGTATCTGCGCTCCGAGCACACCTTGCACAGTCCATTGAAGCGGTTCATGGCTGGACACCCCAAACCCGCCGTCAGCCCATGAAAATCCAGTTCCCCTGGAGCAGCCAGGATCCCGAGCTCCTCGTATCACCCGAGTGTGGAGCGAGCCCCAGTCACACTGGCATGACCGCCCATGGGAACCCAGCTCTGGAGAAGAATGGCAGGAAGCCACCTTTCACCTCCCCGGCCCCTGCCTGGGCCGTGTGCCGCTCCACGATAAGCCAGAGGCTTCCTGAAAACCCTCACTGACAAGGAAGGGAGAGAGTTTTATATTAAAATTCCTGTCAACTATTTAGTATTCCCTAGTCCCCGCTCTGTTGATGTGGCTTTTGTTCCCGTGGCATTCTTCAGCCGCACGGAGCACTTTGTTATTGCAACGTTCTCACAAACACTCGGAGGATGTTTGAGCGGCGTTTCACAGGCACCGGCTGTGGGAGCTTCACTCCATTAAAGAGGCGACTCACACTCATAAAAAAACAAGAGGTTTGTGGGGGTTTTTTTATAAAAAAAATAAAAAAAAAAAAAAGAAAGAAAAAGCAGAGTTTGTTTTTGAAAGCACAGCCCCAGAGGATACACACGTCCCGGCGGCTTTGTGCTCGTACAGTCACGGAGGGGGAAGCAGAGAGGTCAGCTGAACTGCACTCCTGGTGTAATTTGGGAATTAAAGAGCAAGAGGAACTCTCAGCACAGCCACCAGCAGGGCGCACAGCAGGGCTCAGCCTGCCTCGTGCAGCCCCAGAGTTAGGCACAACTCCTTGGAGATGGGGTTCCAATTCCTTGGAGATGGGGTTCCGACGGAGGAAAAAAACACCTTCCACACTCCTACATGGGGATGGAAAATGGAGAAAAGGCTCGAGGGAACTCAAACCCTGGGTTGCCTCACACTGCAGATGGAGTGGCAGGGACAGGGGAGGCTGGAGAGGGAGCTCAGAAGCCCCAGCATTCCCAGGGGACTCCTAGCATGGAGCCATCGGAGGCACTGCCCGGGCTGCTCCAGGAGCATTGTCCCAGCACTGCCAGGCTGGAGCTGGAGCTGGAAGGAGGATCAGCCTTCCTTCCCAGCCACCACCTTTCAAGTCCGTGGCGACTGCCGGAGAGGAAGGGAGGAGAGGGGCGCTGGCTTTGTTTGTCCTGCTCAGCCCCGCGCGGTAAAACAAATAACTGCAAACGCAGCTGAGGGAAGCACAGAGCGGAATCCGGCCCAGATAAATCACGGGGCCGCCCCAGCCCCATTTCCGATGCAAACCCCGTGTTTGTGTTCCAGTTTCCCATCCTTGCCTTTCCTACAAATCACCGAGGTTCCACCACGGGCCTTTCCCTTCCCAGAGCACACGGCCCTGGAAGGAGGAGAGGAGCAGACGCGCCCGGAGACACGGAGCCAGCCAGGGATGATGCCGCGGGCAGGCAGCCTGCCAGCCCTGTCCCACTGCTCCCAGGCGGGTGCCTTGTGTCTGTGTGGGAATATACTGGAAAAACTGGTCCCGGGGCAATAGGGAGTGTGGGGGTATTACCCCATCACCCACGTCCACAGCTGGTGCTGGATCAGGATAACAAATGGCCTGTAACAGCCACAGTGTGACAGGGAGCTGACAGAGCTCACCTTGGCATCACCCTCACTAACACACTGTCCCTTGTCTCCCTTGGAACCCCCCCATGCAGGTTCCTGACCCCATGTCTTCACAGTCCTGTCATACCCACCTTCAGCTGCTTCAGGGTGACAGCATCCTGGCTCTCCTGAGCTGCACTCTGACTTCCCAGTACCGGCTCTGAAATAGAAAATAAAAGATAAAAAAAAGGGAAAGGCCTCATCAGCGTGGTGGCACATATCTCCTGACAATCCCTGTCCTTCCACACTGCACCTACACACTCCATGTAAGATCTTTATATGAGCACATCCCCTCCAGGCAGCTCCAGGGTGCTTACACACCAGGGATAGGCACTGCTGTCCCACCCTGTCCTGTGCCAGCCCCTCTCCCCCTCACACCCTGGCAGCACAGCAAGACCAAGGCAGGAGAAAAATCTCCCCATCATCCTGCAGAGCCCAGGAGCCAAACAGAGCCTGGCCACAGCACTCAGCCCCAGAGCTGAGGCAGGAGTCAGCCTGAGGAAAGGCCAAGCAAGAGGGAGAGGTATGGCTGGAGTGCTGGGGTCCCCACAGAGCCCCAGGTAAGCAGGAGTGAGGTTGAAGTGCAAAGCAGAACCTGCTAAACCAGGCAGGGTCTCAGCCACAACAGTTTTTGGGATCCCAGTGCCCAGTGAGCACCACAGGGTGAGTAGTGCCCGTGGGGGCACAGGGTGCAGTGGGGCTGGGGCTGCTCCACACAGCACGGGGTCAGACACAAGGCTGACTCCTCTTCCAAGCCTTGCCAACACTCCCTGTGACATTCCTGTGGGGAGACACACCTGTGCTCTGCTTCAGCCGCCTCATGGCCACCTTCAGGTGCTTGGTCCTGCCCAGGTCCTCCCCGAGGAGGTAGTACCAGCCACTGATCTCCTGGGGGAGGGAAGAAGCTGTGGGTGCAGGGGCAGATTTCACCCCCATTTCACTCAGTCCCCACCCCCAGAGGGTCCCAGTGCAGGAGCTGCCCCAGGAGCACTCACAGCACACAGAAGTTCTCACACAGACACACAGCCCAGAGTCCTTCTCCCAGGACACAGCAACAGCCAAAATTCCAACCTCCCTGCAAGGAGGGATCAAGCATCGCTGAAGCAACAAGCTTCCAGCTTTTTAGAGGGGGACAAAGTGCAGAAAAACAGCTGGTCTCCATAAAACTGTCCCTCTGGTGTCTGCAGCAGGCAGCAGTGTCACAGGCAGGACACAGCTCCAGCCATGTCACCACAGGAGGATGCCCACAGCAGCCCTCAGGTGCTCTGCAGTGGGATCCCTTTGCCCCTGGCCCACCCAAGAGGACAGGGCTGACCTCGGTGATCCCTCACCCCTCTCTCAGGGAGCTGCCACTGTCTCCCAGGGGGACCAATCCCAGGAGTCAGACAGGGTTGCAAGGAGGTCCTAGAGGAAGGGTCCCAGTTTAAAGTGAGCATTTTGAATCCACAGCAAGGAAACTGAGGAAAGGGGGGTGAGGGGGGATATCCAGCATCATGCAGCACCCAGGGGACAGGGCCAGCCCATCTCAGCCCTGCTGAGGCCCAGGAGCTCCACGTGCCCCCAGCAGCCTCCTCCCACCCCTGTGAGAGCCATGTGTGGGTGCTCTCACAGGGACACTCCACCTGCTCTGCATGCAAGGACACTGTGAAACTCCTGCCCAAATCTGAGAGGGAAGAGACATCTCTGGGGAGGCCAAGTATGACCAGAGCAGAGGCCCCTCCTGGGGAGAGCTGCAGTTCAGAGCTGTTCTGCCTCATGTTCACTGCCATAAGAAAGCTGCACCTCACTTGTCCACATTTCAGAGTTACCTCTCACCCTCTCCTCAGGTCATTGCCACCAGCAGCTCTTTTTTAGCTCCTTCATAGCTCCTGCTATGAAGAGAATTTCCACACCCCAGGTGGGGAAATCTAAAAAACCAAAAGCATTTGGACAATGCTCTGAGGGACAGGGTGGGATTGTTGGGGTGTCTGTGCAGGGCCAGGACCTGGACTGGATGTTCCTTGTGGGTCCCTTCCAGCTCAGGATGTTCTGTGAGCTCAGGTGATGTCTTAACACTCCCATGAAACCCCTCCAGCTTGCTGAGATATTCTGCTGTCCAGAGGAATGACCAGGGCTGTCCAGGCACAGAATCCCTACCCGGGATGAAACATTCCCACGTTTTGTGGGTGGCTGGGAGCTGTTTGCCGGCAGGCTGCCCGAGGAAAACCTGCCGTGAGCGCTGTACTGGCGAGCAGCAGCCAGGCTGGGGCAGCAGCACCGTGACCAAACCCGCAGAGACAGCGATTCCGGCGCAGAATTTCTCCAGGAACAGCTGAAACCTCCAAGTCTGCCCTCTGCCCACCGCCGATGAGCACAGGGAATGGGGCAGATTCCTCCCTGGAGGAATCACAGAATCACAGAATGTGCAGAGTTGGAACGGACCCACAAGGATCAGCGAGTCCAACCCTCAGCCCTGCACAGGCCCATCCCCAAGGGTCACAC